TATTTAAAAATATTTTTTGCATACTGTTGTGTTAGCTAATATATATTTTCGAGTATAAACTCCTTTGAATTAACCGTATAGCATCTTTTTGGTTTTTTTTTTTCAACAAATCCTTGCAAAATAGAGCATCTGTCTTCATATGATTCACTACTCCAAAATTTATCAAATTCGTCATTTCATTGCTGGCTGGTTAATTTTTCAGTGCATTTAAGCGGACACTTGCAGTCAAAATCAGTGCCTTTAAACTCTGGCGTTTATTTCTTTTCCTGATGCACTCACATAATCTTCGTTTTTGTTCGCTTTTTGTTTTCTTAAACTTCAATTTTGGCTCGGATATTTTCTCTTTCGCCCTCTTTTTGGTCGTCCGTTATGAGTTACTTGATCATCATCAATAGGTTCAGGAATATAGTCAGGGTCCACGGCATGAAGATGATTCTCGTGAGCTTTGCTTTAAGTGTTAGATTGTATTAGATTAAATTCTGATTCAACATTAGGTTGGTACAGTTCCTCAATTCCACTAGCTAGTGTTGCAGGATTTATTGCGACGTCAACAGTTCTTTGTAAAGTTGGTTGTGAGTCAACGTTCACCTGAGTACTGCTAAGAACGTTAGGTTGTTTGTCTTCCTCTATGAATTGAAATAGTTCAGTGATTGCTGCAGCTATCGGTATCTCAGGATTTATTAAGACGTCTTTACCAGTTTCTGGTAAAACGTCACAGTCAACGGACTGTGAGTGAATCAATTCTATCAACGGCGACATAGATTGTCTCTCATATTCAGGCATATTGTCGGAAAATATACCACTGCAACAAGAACTCTGAAACTCTATAGAATACGCTAAACTGTTGGTTGTGACGGCACTTTCTTCATTTGACGTGATATCGCTTTGTAAGTCAGTAGGAACAGGAAAAAGGTTGATAGCATCTTCATTGCAATTATTTTTAACGAGATCCACTACCAAGTGGCCTCTAGACCTAGGCGGCGGTGCCATCCTGGAAAAAATCACGTTATACTCATCGTGTTCTTAGGTTTTCGGGATTAGAGCACATTGGAAATAAAACATTTTTCCGGATCTAAATCGCGTATTTTTTTTTTTCAAACAAACCAAACAGGTCTTGTATTTCTTCCATCAAAGTAAGGTAAGTATAACATAAATAATAGTAAACATAGTATTTATAATATTATGTTTAAAAAAGGAGTTATGTTCCTATAAATCCATTCATATGCAAACTGATGCATGTGATTATAAATTAAAAGGCACAATTTTTGGCGGTAGGTAGGTGTATTTTTTTACCCTTCGACTTTCGAGAGGTTATGAAGAAAAAATAGCTATGCTAACTCCCGCGACGGTAGAACAACCCGTAGTCGGAGTCTCAAAATTTGTAAAAGGTTAGCGTATTTAGATTAGCAATAGAATGAACAGTTCATTGTTAGCAAAACAGTGTCATGACACTTATAACAAAAAAGGAACTATTTATCTTCTATATCTAGTTTAGCTAAAATGTATTATGTTTTATAACACGGTAGTAATAAAAAAATATTAGGCAAATTTCATTTCGCCATAATGATTCAAGTAACATGATTCATTAAAAATATTATTTTTTCTTTTTGTAATAATGAGTCAAACGTAGAAAAACCTTTTTAACTAGAATTACTTATCATAAAAAATTTACTTAAACCTAAATTAAATTTACTTATTCCTTTCATTTATTCATACAGATTTGCCAAAAGAGATTCCTAGCAAAAATTTTAATTTCGTCGTTCTTTTGTAGATTTTACCTGAATTGTAACCTCAAAAACATGTAACGTTAAAATAGTAAGATACCGGTTAAAAGAAATAACTTACCTTGGTTACTTGTAGTGTTTATCCACTTAAAAATATGATAATTAATACATTTGTGGCTTGATCACGTTAATAAAATAAATTTAAACACCTTTTGTCGAAAAATTTTACCTGCGCGACACTTATGCTAAAAGGAACAGACGTAATGTGATTTTTGCAATAATATGTTAACCTTCTTGACACGTTTTTGACATTATAACCGGGCGCTTTGCACGTTCTTCAAACATATCAAGGTACTAAACACGCAACGTGTGATAATGGATTAATGTCAACTGTTTTTACCATTTTTACATATTTCAAGGTCTGAAATAATTTAGTTTATTTTTGTAAAATGTAGACCAGATGACAAGCTACAATTTGGCATTTAAATCTCATTTTTCGTGCTCTTGTGGGTTGACATGTTATTGCTTATCGGACGGCTGTTATTCTCTTACCTCTTTCAATTTCAATAGTAATATAACAAAAACCTGCCTACCGACCACCATAGGACAAGTCTCCTTTAAGAAGAGTTGAGGGCTACATAAATGAACATATTATTTACTATTTTAGTTTATTATTTTCGCTTAACTATGTATCCAAGGATGTTGGTGCCTATTCGAAGATATTGGTGTCCTAACGATTAGCACTGTAGGCGGAAGATTAGGAATATCCGGGTTAAATTCTCCGTGTGATCAATCTGCAGCAACGAATTTTTCTAAATTGGTTCTAATCTGGGTATTCTGAGAATTTCCTAGTTAAAGATCAGATAATTATATTATTACTGATGTTTATTTAGAAAATGTTTATTTTTTTAAATATAAGTTATTTACGTAATTATGTAAATTACATCACACGTACAGTTACGCCTATGCCTGTAACAATAAAAAAAGGTTAACATAGAGACGTGAAGGATAACTTGTGACGTGCGTGTGTGAAGAATTGTTCATACAACACCATTCTCAGTGTATTTTCTACGAAATTCTTAGCTAGATTGCAAAACTAATTACATAACTACAAATAAAAAAAACTCTTGTATAATCTTAGATCAGGTAAAAGTTTAAAGCTGCGTGTATTGAAGTATAGCGCTAGCGGAATCACGACAATGTCTAACAAATCGGACTTATTGCACAAGCGACATCCCAAGTGGGTCTGAGTTTTCAAGATTTGCATAGTCTCAGATGCGGAACGAATATGAATAGAATGCAGTGCAAATGCGCTAACTATGAATATTCTGTTTTCAAAGAATTAATATGAATCGACCACTACACACAGACACTGCTGTTTCCACTTGACACACAGACACACCGATTAATCAAGTAGTCTTCGAAGCATTAGACCCTGCAGCTGACGTGGTTGATTTGCCTGTAAATATTCACGGCAACAATGTTAACACTCGTTTTCAAATATAAACATTGTATCTATAGAATAAATTATGATTTAACTTTGACTTTTCTTCGACAACGTATAATTAGCACAACAAGCAAAATAAGTTTCTCCATCGATATCCCCAACGTAACACCGACGGAACACTTTGAGTGTTCCGTCGGTGTTACGTGTAATTTAACGTCTAACTGGTACCAGTGTTCAAAGATAGTAACGGGCGACTGCCCGGACACGGAGACTATGGTTTTATTTTTCCTGATGTTACTAGATTCCAGTTAATCACTAACAATATCTATAATATCGGATTAATTCAATGATTAATAAATAAACTTATAATGATGAATATATCAAAAGTTTAATTAAATCTTATTATTGTGTAGCAATGATAAATATATATTTAAATATATATATAGAAAAAAAAACAATTATTTACAGTCTCGCCTTTAATAATAATATAAATAATTGTTTATTTTACAATTCCTCATTTTAAATAAATGACAACGTAGTCGTGAAGGAAACACGCTTACCTGGAAGTAGACACAAAAATCATATTACACATTGGGGTCATAAAGACATACAAATTATTCTATTTAATAAATATATCTGTACAGGGATTCAATAAAGGCGAAAAATTTACATAAAACCTACAGCTCTTTCATGCAACGCATATTAATTATTTCTTGTGTCAGTAGTGGCGTATAAATGAAAAATCGTATGTGCTTTTTTAAATTAAAAGATATCGCTAAGCTCTTCAACTTTGTCTCCAGCCTTCAACATGTCACATTAATTAGGTATGTGTGATCCATCGTCAGGAAATGCACTTTTTTTTATAAAAAATAAACGACGTTTTCGCGATTGTTACTCATATGTATATGTTACATATGGTCACGGGTGACTGTCTAACCTGTAAAGGGCCCAAAACGACGCGGGTACAAATACTTCGATTCGTTTGTCCAATATAAGAGAGACTGCACTCGCAGTCAAGCTTGTAAACTCCTGCATCCTGTAAGAGGATATTACATTTCACGGGTCTCAGGAACTGAGAAATCTTCCTCAGGGGCTTGAAATAGGTCTTGATATCTATCAATGCATCTCGTCGTGCATCTGCACGCCTGAGGACTCTTCCGATCTTGTCTGTAACACTTCTCACGTAAGGTAAAATGGCAGGTCCTTGCTCGACTGTTGGTGGTTTCACACGGCGTCTGTGGCATTGGTTTTTTTGAAAAAACAAATATTTTCGATTTAGATCCGTAAAAATAGTTTTATTTCTTAAACATCATTATTTTTCGCGTTCGCTTCCTCTATGTTGAAGTCGTATTGCTGTACAATTATGTAACTGAGTTGATAAACGATATTCAGGCGGGACTTGAGATATATTATTTGAATAGTTATGACGATATGGAGTCAACAAGAGGCCAAGGTCAGTCGTGCTAAATCACCGGTCGATAACCTAGTTTTTTCTTTATTTATTTTGTAACGGCACAGATCCATCTGTCCATCATAATGTCCTGACATAATTGCCTAAAGCTGACTTAAAGGTTTTAAGTAGGTTGCTATATAATATGTACTTAGTCTGTTTTTATATTTCGCAAATTATATTAAGATTTTTTTGTTCATTTTAAATAAATAAGCAATGAATAAGCATTATGTAACTGGGTTTCCAAATGACAAAATCACTTCGATAAAACATCGCTAGCTCGATTTGTTGGAGCGTCGTTGTGTACTAAAACCTAAACCTTTCTAAACTACGTGATACGTCTCTATAAAGTATAAAGAAATTTTTTCTTTCTTTTCAGTGATGGAGGTAGCATCAGGAGATTATAATGTCGACCTAGAGAAAACATGCAACACAATGATGCGATTCAAACCCGAACCTTCAGCTAATGGCAACTTCGAAGATAATGTTCCTACTATACCCGCCTTGCCTAGCCCTATGGGTAAGAATATTGTAACCCCTATTTTATTTTCCATGATATTTGCTAAAACATTTTCCTTTTTTGTTTTTGTTAATCGCTTATGTATTTACTAGGGGTATTTGGTAAACCAAGCATGTTAAATTGTACATACAGTACATGGTAGTAAATTTTGCAAAAACAAGTCATTACGCTTAGCATTCGATTCATTATTATAATATTTTACCGTCAAGCGCACGCCAACATGCGTTATTATTGAAACTGAAATGTAATTTAACTTTTTTACTTAAAATTATGAAAGAATACTTGACGGCCTCCGTGGTCGAGTGACTTGCACACCGGTTTTCATGGTGTTGCCATCTCTGAGGTGCCGGGTTCGATCCCCGGCCGAATCAGTGCAGAAAACTATTTTTTCTATTTTGTTTCGGGTCTGGGCGTTTGTGGTACCGTCGTTGTTTCCGATTTCCATAACACAAGTGCTTTAGCTACTTACTTTGGGATCAGAGCAACGTATGTGATGTTGTCTAATACTAGGCCCATGACGTTAGCAACTCTACCATAGACTATGTACCACTTATAAGATTAAAGCAAAACATAACAACCGTTCCAAGAAGGAAAATATTTCAGTTCTGTTCATAAGATTATAGGCGGGCCTCTTCGGACAGTAATGCGAGCGCGCACCAAAAAAACGAAATACAATCCTATTTTGGGTATTAACATAAAAAATCAATGACATTTAAGAAAGTCGATCTAAAACCGATATCAATTAGATCATGTTTATTAAATTATATTATAATTTCGCAATTACGCAAGCTTTGAAACTTGCAAATTTGCGTCAGATTTTTAAAACCATTGAGGGGAAAATTATTCATTCCCTTGATTGTAAAATATCACAGTATTTTTTTATTTTAATACAGAGTATACTTATGATGGCGTTCCTCAAGGAAGCTTTTTGATACCCGTTCTAATTATATTCTTCCTATGTTTCTAGAAATAACCAGCGAACTGAAGTCAAAGCCGTTCCTAAGCAGTTCTAAGTACAGGAAGAACAATTCGAAGTTCATGTATAACCAGTCAGGGTTACTCCGACAAACCTGGATTCTTTTATATCGGAACTACTTAATGACAACCAGGAACTACGTGAGTAGACATGATGTACTTGTTTTAATTATATAAAAAAAACAATTCTTATAACTACCCACTACATGAACAACATTTTGAGAGCGTCGCAACTATATAGTTGAAATTCAATCGGGAAACGCTTTAAATGGTAGTCAGCGTAACTGCATCACAATTACATACTTCTAGTACAAGCACGTAGGAGGGTCTACATACTACGGTAACATTTCTACATTTAATATTTCAGTCATTGGATAGAACATTTACTCAAGTCAAGACTAAAGTTAAAACGGCTTGAAATAAATAAGACAAAATACATAAAATATAGCAATTTAAATTCTAGGTTTTTGTCCCACAATTATTATATATTTTTTAATATTAAGTAACGGGACGAGCTAACGAAATATAGGTAGCATATCTTTAATTTATAACTCGAATAGATTGTGTAAGAACATAGCTTGAATAGCGTGCAAGCAAACGCAGATAAGGGAAACGCAGAAAAACTAGTATGTAAAAGACAATGAAGAAAGGTTACGTAACTTTTTTATTATACTGTCAAGTTTACTAAGTTTGACGCCATGTACAGAAATTATTAATATAAAGGGTTTTTAATAAATAACCCTAAAGGTTTACACAAGTGTACGATTTTAACGCCACTGTTGAAGTTTACTTTAAAAAGAATGATTGTAGAGACGCCACATGATATGACTGCAATAAACTGTTTACAAAGTACAACCAAAAAAAAAACAAAACCCGATTATTAAACTAGGGTTGCTTATACAAAATATTGGTTCTTGATAAAGGGACTGAACAAAATGTAGAGCAGACGCAAATATTAACATTGTTCTATTTAATCTTCCTCAATTGACATCTATATTATTTTATCACGAATAAACACATTTTTTAAAGCTTATAATACAACAGAAATACTATATTTTATTGTATTGGTTGATACAGTACTTATTTATGCGTATGTCTTTTTTAGTCGCTGTTCATGTATCGAGTAGCATGCCACGTCACAATCGCGCTTATCTTTGGCTACCTATATCTCGGAGTGGGCAGTGAAGCTAGCAGTGTACTTGGCAACTACGTGTATCTGTATGGTTCTATGCTGCTCGTCGTCTATACTGGAAAGATGTCCGTTACTTTATCATGTAAGTATTCTCGTTCAGACTCCAATATTAAGGATGTATTATAGACTAACAAAATCAAATATAACCAAAGTTGATTCCTAAATAGAGTTACAATCTGTTTGGATCTGTCCGGACATTTTGATTTTCAGTACGAATTTAGTCCGAATTTTTCAGATTAGGGTAACCATTTTCAGAATAAAAATATATTTTACTTTCAAAAGTCGTTTTACGACATCTCTGCTTTTCGATTTAATTTTTTTACAGCAAAGTCCGGACTTTTTCACCAATGTCATTCTTTTTATCCGGATTATTCAAATTTCGGATTGATTGCCCTATTCTTAAACAATCGTATAATGAATTAATCGAATAAATTCAAAACAACTTAGACGAGATCTCTATTGACGCTATAAAGTCGCGAAGGTAAACAGACTGCACCATTCTCAAATATTTAGGGCCGGTTTAAGGCTGATTCATGTTATAACGTGCCGGGGCCGATTTGACCGTAACACGGTCAGATATCTATATTACGCTTTTATATGAACTAATTAATGTTAGACCGAACCGAGTCCGTGCTTTACCCGTGCTCCGGAGCACGGACTTCGTTCGGAATTAGTTTATATAAAAGCATAATACAAATGTTTGACCATGACACGGCCGGCACACGACCGGAGCACGGCCCGACCCCGGCACGGTGAATCAGCCTATAAATGACAAGCGTTACACGCCCGTCCACGCGTGTTTAACGCATGTTATCTAAACAGGACCGTTACGAATTCCATGGCTTTCACGAAATACAGATAACTCAGTATGACGACAATATTATTATTCACTTTACTCACATCAGTACCATTTACACGCATGTTATAACACTATGTATAATTTGATTACAATACTACGTCGACAAAAACAATCATTATCTAATAAATTTTGCAATGAACCGGTGAAATGCTTATTTCTAGAAATTTCCTGATGACCTAAAACGAACTTTGGAACTAGTAGACAATTATGTGTTGCGCATTATACTTTGTAAATAACAGATATAATTTATATTATGATAATTAATTAATAAATAGAAAACTTTGGGTGACTGTTTTTACATAAATTTTCTATAAAACACGATACACAAACATTTGACGACCTCAGTGCCTGACGGTTTATACTAACAGTGGATTCTAAATGCGGAGGTCTTGGGTTCGATTTCCGGAACGGATATATTAGGGAAAACTAACTTTTCTAAATTCTGGTCTGGGTGTCCTGGGAGTGCCCCAGAGTGAATTCTGATGCTCTGGTACTCATAGTACAGGGAATTACCTAGTTTGAGACCAGACAATTGGTGTAGTTGTCAGACACATTACATTTTCATTTTATTTATCACTTCGAGACTGGTGAATCAATAATGTCCGACTGCGAGGTACGGAGCTATCCTCTCTTTACCACAAAGGATTTTGATCAGGTCATAATCCAAATAGAGCAGAGGTTTCCAAACTTATTTTGTCTACTGCCCACTTTGAGAATAAATTATTTTTTAGCACCCCCATTTTTTCACTGACTTAAAAACGACTATAACTTCAAATTAAATTAATTGTTGTGAGCTATATTAGCGGAGATCAAACATTCATTCTAAACGAGACTTTTACTATAACCCGCAAGAGTTAACTTGGCACAATGTCAACTGATATAATATTTTCAAGGGAATCTCTTTCTCATCACAAAACTTTTCCAATGTATTGAATATGGTTTCGTCTTTTGTATCGGTCTCTAAATTTCTAGCAAACAATAGTTCTTCACATATTTTCTTATCTTTAATAAACCTCACGTAAAAGAGCAACAATGTTTTGCAAATTATTCATTGGTAAAGTGGACTCATCGAGCTGAAGTGTGAATTGACTAGTCTTCAGATGATTGCATAATGATTCTTCAACGTTTTCTGCCATTTCATCAATTCGTCTTTGCACAGAATTATTACTCAAAGGAATTTTTCGGATAATATCCGCGGCCGGTTTATGAAACAGAGTAGTTATTACTTCCTTTATTGCTGGCAAAATTAACTCTTCTCCAATGTTGTGTGGTTTGCCTTTTTGAGCAATTAACAAAGAGATATTGTTCGAAGCTCGAAGTCCGTCGTCATCTTGCTTAGCAGCCGCCGAAAAGAGTTTTGCTACACTTGACTGAGTATTATGCTTCTTCTTTAGGTCTTGAAAATATACTACATTCTTGTCTTTCTTATCTGGATGCATTTTATTCAAATGATCTTGCAGTCTTGAAGGCTTCATTGCTTAATACGAAAATGTTTTTAGACATGGAAGGCACAAAAGCGGTGATGGGTTTGTGGGATTTTCAATACATCCGAATTTGATATATTCCGCGCAGTATTGCCGTCTCTTCTTTTTTAGTTCCGACACTGTTTTGTTTTGAGAAATATGTGAGTAAGTGTTGAACTTAAGTACTGCTTATCTATTACGCGCGAAACCGCAAATAAAAATAAAGTAAATATTACGTTGTATATATAGGATTGCATAAGCAGCACGCGCCGACAGGAACAAGACGAACATGCATAAACTCGTTTATCTCATTCGACGCTCAATCGTACTCAACAAGTAAGAACAAGTATTCTATGAACCAGCCGATTGATACAGGAATGCACAAATCGGGTTATTTAACAAAAAAACTTGTTAAAACACGATTGCCCGCGGTCTATTATCTACGAAAATTACCTATCTAGGAATACTAATAACTATTAAAATGAGAAACTGTGTCTGTTGCCTTTTTATTTGTTTGTTTGTGTCTACTTTCAATTCGCAACGGAGCGACCGATTGACATAATTTTTATTTTATTTATTCAATAAAACAGGACAGATATATGAACTACACGGAGAAAAATATCGAACCGAGTTAGTTTGAGCAATCCCTGAATTAATATTAGTTGACAAGTTGTAGTCGAGAGTCGAGATCTCAGTCGGTGTCTAAGAATCTTCCTAGATGAAATTACAAATCTTCACACAACGCCCCCATTTTTTTTCTGGGTCTCTTACCGCCCTTTAGGTCTGCAGCGCCCACAAGGGGGCGTTATCGCTCACTTTGGGAAAGGCTGAAATAGAAGATAAGAACTTGACCCCATCGCAGAATTTTGAAGCCTCGTCCCGCATGAAGGTTTTCTCATGAAATTTTCCTTTACCTGTTAAGTAAGTGACTAATACGACGTGTCTTGGTGACGAGATTCATCTTTAAAAAAATGTTTTTCTTTTTGCAGTTCCGTTAGAAATGGACATACTGAAAGGCGAATATTTCAATCGATGGTACAATTTAGGGCCGTACATCTTTTCTATATTAGCAGTGGAGTTGCCATTTCAAGTAAGTTTCAATTTGAACTCTACCTTTCCTTCGAGTCCTTAGAATAATGACTGTTCACTTTCGGACTTCACTACGGACCTGTCACGCATGGTCGAGAATGCTCGCGCATTCCGCAAAAGATTTTGACTCGTATCTGGTCTGTATATTACACAATCGACCATAAAGTTCAATAAACACTTCCATCCGTACAAAATTCGCTTCTATTCCGTTCCGCTGCAATATAAATAAAGCCTAATTGTAAGAGGGACGACCTCGTTTACACCCTGTTTAATTTCACCCTAATTTATTTTTTTCTAAACTTTAATTCGAGAGTAGTAAATACTTTCAACCAAAGCCTCTAAAGGCCGCCTTAGATGCATTGATTTAGGGAGACGCAATGTAATGTGACCAGCCGAAAATCCTATTTTATTTTACCATAACATTCGCTACGAGCATTTTACGTTAGAGCGTTAGCCGACTGAACGGTATCATCGCTCGTTTCAAATTCAGCGCTCGGCCGTGCTCCGCATTCACAGTCGACATGGTTCTTTAATAAATAAATAGCGACGACTCTCCGAGCTGTACTGACCAAAATTTGAGGCGTAACGTACACTCAAAGGGATTAATGATTAAGTAGCAATAAAGCTCCTTGTACAAGAAATAGTCCGGGGAAGTACTTCCCACTTTACCTATTTCTGCCGCCAAGCAGTAATGTGAGCATTACTGCGTTCCGGTTTTGAAAATTAAAAGCGTTCCGAATCCGAGAAATGACGGTCCGAAATGTCACAGGATCAGTTTATCTCTATGTGTACAACCGATATTCGTATTAACTCGGAGTCGAATTGGACTTAGTGCACAAGCGACATCCAAAGTGGGTCCGAGTTTTCTAAATTTGTGCAGTCTCGGATTCGGAATGAAAACGAATCGGATACAGTGCCCCAACGCGCTAAGGGTGCTTGTGAATTTGTCAACTTATGTCTCAGGGTGACGGGCGCAGTGGCCGTGCCTCTCATATCTTTGCGATTAAAGGGTCTGGGTGGCACTGCAACTGTTATAGACAGGCGTGTCACTTAAGATCAGGCCCACGACGCGGAGCTCGCAGCGAACGGCTCCGCTCTCTGTCCTGACTATATGAATGCTCACATCGTAACGTGTTTAGTTATGTTGAAATAATCCGGTCAGTCTCCGCCTTAATGATTTTCCTTAATTTAATAAGCATTATTGGCCACAAAAGTAAATATAAATGTAACTTTTCTGCATTTATTTGCCATAACCAATACACATATTGCTACAGATGTTGTCTTGCGTCTCGTACGTGGTGTTATCATACTGGTTGACGGACAACCCGTTGGATCCAACGCGAGCAACCCTCTTCCTGGCCACTGTTGTCGCGACGTCACTATGTGCTCAGGCTTGGGGATACTTCATTGGCTCCACAACGCCAACTAAGGTAATTTTTTGGCAACAACATTTTTTCATTCTATGGTATTATTATGCTGCCGCCGTTTAGTTGAAAGGGCGCTTGTGACAAAAACTCAGAACCGACAAAATATGTTTTAAGAAATATCTACTTTTCTCTTACGGTAACTGCATAATATCTTATCCACCTAAGAAAATATAAAAATACACTAATGCTCCGCCTTGCGATTTTCAAAATTCGCGCTAAATTACCCCGCTTTACACGGATGCATTGATTTAGCCAATTTGAACCCGTAGCTTCTCAGTTACGAAATTTGCATTGTCACAGGTAGTTCTTTCTTGGTAGGACCTTTAATTTATGATCACATTGGTACTGCCTGTTATCCAGTTAATTGCAAAAGATAATTTTACGAACAATGACGCCGGCTAAGAAAGAAGAGAATAAGAGCTTGAGTTTGAAGACGAAGAAAAGTTGTAGAAAAGATAGGTTCATTCGAATAGCACGGTCGTTACAATATTAGCTTTTATTCGATCGTACCCCCCTCCATCCCTGGTAGCAGTCCACAGTGTATTATTTTACATCCTCGTTTTATGTCTTAAGAAAGAAAGTTAATATTCATAAGAAAGATAATATTCAAACAAAGTTCGTAATAAAACTCTTCACGCTGTATTATCATAATTTTAGAGAAACTTAGAAAATCGAGAAAAATCTATTAGAACCATACAATCAGATTATTTCCCTTCCTGCAAATGATTTTTCTTTCAATATTTCTTGTTATGATAGAAAACTACTAAAAGCACCAATAATTTCAAACAATAAAAAAATATAAAGCTTCCTAGACCACAATTAATTTTTTTCTATGAATAGGAAATGAAACTATTTTTCCGGATTAAACTATTTTTTCTATGATTTCGTTATTTTTTTCTGAAGAATTTCTACATATTAGCATTTTTTTTCAACGCGGATATGTTAATTATAATATAATAAGTACTATCACAAAAAAATATATGTACGTAAAGGTGAGTTGGTTTTATTAAAGGATGATATGCTTCATCCACAATTCTGGCCATTGGGTCTAGCCAGGCAAGGACTCTACAGTTAGAGTTGTTGAAGTAATGACATCTGATAAGGATTTAGTAGTCTCATATAATTCCAGGGCCTTTTCTAAAGTCGTTGTATTGCCAATATAATTTTGTATTATACTGTGACTACTACTTGTTATGAATACTAGAGAAATACTTATTGTAATATAATATGTAGTCATGTATGTTGTTTAAATGTATTTTAAACATTTTAATATTTAAGTTCTGATTGAAGTGTCAACAGGTCGTTTATTCCAATTTCATGCGCGGGCGCAATTATGTCAACGACATGAAATTTCTTTTTTGTTAAATACTTCTTTATTCCTTTGCAATTTTTTTTCTTTCTTTTGTTTAATCACAATTGTTTTTCTTCATTTCGTGTCATTTTTTAGATTTTCAGTACATTTTATAATTACAATACGTTTTTTTATTTACAATTCAATATAAATTCTGCAGTAATATAACGCGGATTCTTACAATGAGACAAAACTTGTACATTTGGTGTGATTTAAAACAGTAGATTACAATTGTGATTTGTGGTGTTTTTAAATTAATATGAATAAGGAAATTAGAGAAATACAAACATTTTATAACAATATCGTTAAATTTGAACAAAACTTAGCAAGTATCTTATAGTAAATATTTTTTGATCAAAGGTCGGAAAATTGGATACATATTGTACCTACAACTTGGTACCTTGCTAACATGGAATGCGCTTTTGTATCGGGTACCGGGTTTTACGAAGTCAAGTATAAAATTGAAGAAAAATAACATTGACCTTGGTAGGTCAATGGAAAATAAACGTTATAAAGCTTTTAACAATTTTCAACCCCAGCACTGTTAGATAGATAGAAATAACTGTAAAATAATGTAACGGTGCGAGCGAGGTAGATATACCTGCTGGTGCCCGGCAGTGTGTTATTTTGCATTAGTTGCGGACATCCTCGTTTTATGTATTTTTTTTAGAAAGATAATACTCAAACAAAGCTCTTAATTAAACTCTCCTGCATATCTCTATCATGGTTTTAGAGAAATGTAAAAAATCAAGAAAAATCTATGGAGATAAAATTAAATTATCTCCTTTCCTGTAATTGATTTTTCATCAAATATTTCATGCTATGATAGAGAACTACTAAAAGCGCCAATAAGTACAAAAAAAAAATCAAGCTATCCTAGAGCACAAATATTTTTTTTCTATAGTTTAAACCATTTTTTTCTGAAGATTTTGTACATATTACCATGTTTTTTCAACGCAGATTTGTTAATTACAGTAATAAATATTACCATAAAAAATCCAGATGCGACAAACACAAGAGACCAGAAATATTGATTTTTTAATTTTGGGTTAGGGTTGGCACTGAATATTTATTCAGTCTGCAAAGTGCAATATTTTATATTTCACTTTCAGCATTTGCCAGGATAATTTATCTTTATTCACACAACGTAATGCGCATACGTGAATATTATAACAAATTATGCCAATAGCATGTAACGTACATTGTTTTAAATTATTTTTGAAATCAATTACTTCAATTTAATTTATTTCACTTGATTTTAAATTTAACTAACGTAACTTAAAAAATGTAAAAAATCAATTAATGTACCATATGGACTATGTTATCTGAACCTCAGGAATTTGAATTGTTGTGGGCTAAAGCCCACATGTATGAATAAAATTTTATATTTACTAACACTAAAATAAGTTCACATCTTTATATCTACTATCACGTACAAGTCTATTCATATTCGAAATAAATATATATATTTTGTGAGAACCCTATTTCCATAGAAATCTAAAAAAACCTTAGAAATGCGGTATATCCGAGATATTACGAGATAAACGTTTACTTTTTCTTTATTCGATATATACATTAATGTAGTATATTTTGAAGGTAAAAAAAATGCTAATTTAGTAAGGTTAATTTTATATAAATATATTAACAAAATATTTTTTCTCGCTTTTTTGTGCACTTAAGGTCTTGCGATTTTCACTTTAATAAACTTAAAATAGACAGTTAATTTGTATTGTTTTCAAAGAGAAGTTTCACATATTTCGGGAAATACAGGCAAAAATATTTTTTTTGAAGTTCAGTGACCTTTCGAAAAAAAAAAATCTCCAAAATAAAAGTAAATATCTAAACGGGTGTTTCTTAGTACAATTTATTAGGACTCAACCTATTGAAATCGAACAAAAAACGGGGATGTCCACAACTAAAGTAAAATAGCACACTGTGCAATCGTTAGTACAAGTTAGAGACCCGCGACCAAAAAACTATAGCACCAGGCGGGCCACAGAAATAAGAACAACCCTGTTTTACACGGATTTCGCTATCGCGATTTTGTCCGGAACGCATCCCTCGCGTATTACTGTAGTGACAAATCGGCCTTTTTTTATTGATCACGGCCGTATATACATATACAAGCATAACATTTTATTTGAAATATGTCTTGATGAAAAAATTTTTGACAAATCTCACACTTTACTTACTTTACTTGATATCGAATGATATGAGAGTTGGGGCCGACTGTAGTTTGTCTATGAATTAAAAAAAACTACGGTTTGCGTGACATGCGTGAGAAATAAGTTTTTTGCATTAGTTACTAATAATTACTGCTAATAGCTTTGATCAATGCCGCAATGCCGGTCGTAAAATGCGGTTCCTGAACACATCATAGAGAGCTTATAATATATGTATAGATATAACAGTGTATGTAACTGTACATAATTAGGCTTTAAAACACTCGTGTGATATTTTATATTACGTACATACTCGTATTTTAATGGCTTTCATTATCTAACAGTCACATAAACTACTATTAGGTGCCAACATCTCGAAAATTACCAAAACGCAAATGCGTTAGTTATAACATGAAGGGCAACAACCATATCCAAGCGCCTACTCGTTAAATAAAGCGATTAGCACAAAACGCCTATTTATTTTCGATTAGCAAAATAGTCTATCTCTGTTTCCTTTTACTTGACGTCTATTTGGTCTCTATTTATTGTCCTGTTGAGTAAATTAGCCTTAGATGAATGCACTATTATTCTGGTTTTGCAGTCGGATACCCTAAATACAAGAGAAAACATACAGTTAACTCTGCTCTCTGATATCTATTTACCATGTCATAGATGGATTAAACTAATTCTGCATTATTATGAATCAGTTCCACGTGTAATTTATTAATAACTTAGTAGTTAACACTTAATTATAAATTTATTTTCCAGATCGCAGTGTTTATAGGCCCTGTTGTAGCATGCCTGTTCTCCGTGTTTGGTTTTTGCCTAGCGTTACGGGACACGCCGTATGCTTTCAAGTGGCTGCACCACATATCCTACTTCAGGGCCGGTTTCCACGTAGCCGTGCATTCGGTTTACGGCTTCAACAGGACTAAGATCCATTGTTCTAAGGGTAAGTAAGACTGGACACATTTTGGACGCCTCTTTAATGAAATGAGACTCAGGTTCAAAAGTACAATACTCCCTTAATAAATAACGTACACACTCGTAGCCCCGCACTAGGGAGACCCTGTGACACGGGTGCCATGGGCACACACATAGACAACCATAAATTACGCCCAAACCCACGAAAGAAATAAATGCAGACCATACAAATGCTTCTCCCGTTCGGGAGATACCCTCTTTCCAACAAAAAAGAATCATGAAAATCGGTTCACAAATACCGGAGTTATCGCGTAACATACATACATACAAAAAACATACAGTCGAATTGAGAACCTCCTTTTTTTGAAGTCGGTTAAAAACTGTGGAAGTACCAGTTACGTTTAATACATTATAATATCAATATTTTCCAGAATACTGCCACTACAGTACACCAAGCAAGTTTCTCATTGAAATGGACATGGCCCAAGTGGACGTCGGTGGAAATATGGCTTTAGTTCTAATTACAACTGTGTTGATGCACCTTCTCACCTGCGCTGCGTTATGGTACCGACTCAATAAGAGATGATATGATTGTTAAAAGAACTGATTTAAGTTACCATTAGGTCATTCATTTACTGTAAAATGGAAAGACATAGATTAATGCTAAGAAATTAGTAGGCAAAATAGTTCCTTAAGTGTTTCTTCTAAGGTGTAAGGTTTTTGTGTAAGGTTTCAAAATCATCATTAACTAAAGATAATGATGATGTATCTAATGATGATGATGAATTTTGATGACCTATTCATACCTCTTCGTGACGCAATTGTTATATTTGTATAATTTGATAAGAGTAGATTTGATAAAGATTGACAATTTAAAGATAAAATTTGACTATTTAATAACATTTATATAAAATAACTATTATATTTTCTTTACATTTATTCAAGTCTGAAGGGTCTTCTGCCTTATGTTTTTCGAAATATTTTGAATAAATGTATGTGTGTAGGTCAAGAATGTCTAAAGGCTTGATTAGTTTTAACCAAGAAATGGATGTCCAAGACAACGGAAACAGGGCAGACCAGAAAGAGACATAGTCTCGATTCTTTCAAAGAAGGATAGAGGAAGAGCACTCAAAGCCTTAAACTGTAGGACATAAATGAATAACTTATATTTTTTTCACAAGTTTTTAAACAATGAATTCGTATTTCTTCATCAAATCTATTATGAGTAATATACTACTATTCTAGCACCGATTTACTTGAGATCACAATTACATATTGTTAAATAAATAACATAATTTTGACAATGGAACGTGCTGCGATTATGACGCGCTGTGTAGACGACGTTCTTATTACTGAAAAATAAAATCCACACTTGGCTAAATACGCCTAAGTGATATTACCGCCTGAAATGTCTGTCTCAAAAGGCGGCCATTATCTTTTGCTAACTTTCCACAGTCACCTTTGCGGTATACCTCAAAGGCCAAGAAGTCTCTTTTGGAACTAACAAGGAAAGCGATCCTAGATCCGAATTCGACCCTAATCTGCATTAAGGCCATCTTCCCACAGCCCGTAGCCCGCGCCGCGCGTTTCGCACAAACGCGCCTGGGAAGAAGGCCGCCCGAGTGTGCCCGTGCTCACCCGTGGTGGCCTGTTCGGATCCTCCGCTCGTCAGTGACTTTAAAGGCGAATGTACAATACTTACGAACAAAACATACATACGAACTCGAATACGCGCCACCACGCACGTCGGCCCGAGACCGGGACTCGTCCGTGTCGCGAGCTCCCTTCGGCGCCTTTGAAATCACGGACCGTCATGGGCCATGAGAACGCACCCTTACTTGGATTAGGTGTACAATAAACATAAGGGACACTCACTGAACCTTTTAACGATCAAAACGTTTGCCGGCGTCATCTGCCGTGCGATCGCCCTAATTAATTATTAGGGATTAAGACTTACAACTGTATTGTACATTAAATTAATGTTTTTATTAAAGAAAGGTGGCTGATAAAATCTTGCAAAATAGTATTATTCAACGCGTCGATTTTAGTTATTTATTCCCTTATATTGTAAGCTTCTAGCACATGGGTAAATTGTTAAAATATTTATAATCATTAAGTAGGTATACAGTAATTTGTAGTATTTGTAGATTTGTAAGTTTAAAAGGTGTAGGCTTAACTTTATATTTAAGTAGGTAATTTAAAATTGTACAAGAGACAAATTGTCTAGCATACAAGATCTTAATTATATTGAGTAGGTACAGAACATATCAAGTGACATCATAAACACTTAAAGATGAACAATGGCACACCTTGTATCCTTGCATTACCGACGATATTTCAACGTGTCAAACTTGAAGAGCTCTTGACTACGTAGTATTGATACGTAGTATTTATTGAGTACATAATTATTAACAGACAGACATGTATTTTTTTTATTATGTTACAGTTAGAGATTGATCTTGAGAAATTACATTACGAACAATGAATTTTGATCACTTGCAAACATTTTTAAAGAAAACCGAAAAAAAATTAGACATCTTTATCTCTAAAAAATTATAACAGATGCCTTGGTCTACAACCAAATTAACCGTCATAGACTTTTTGCCTTTTAGAACTGTGTAATAAGATGAGTTATTTCACATTCTTTTACGTTTGAGAGGTTGTAAAATAATTCTGTACATTATTTTGTATTAGTTGCTGAAAATCGATGCCAGAGTTATTATTAGCGGTAATATTATTTATTTTCAACTATGGCCATAATTCTCAATAATTATTAAACTATTTCAAAATTATTACGTAAACGACCCGAATTCATCCCCTATGGTACCTACCAATTGGATGCGATTTTTAATTAAAAGTATATCTTTTCCCGTGATGGTGATTAAAAACCTTATAATGCTAATCAACTATTAGTATACCTTCACTTAACAATTGAAAAAATATTTTTTCTCCTTTTTAAAAAAACAAAAATTATTTCTGTTAAAATTTATATTGTAAAAGTTTTGTTTTCTGACTGATATGAATTAAATGAATCAGTATATTATTATAGGTACAGAATTAAGTCCAGTGAATTATAAGCTAGCGAATACCTATTATATGAAAAGTCTCCTCATATGTATCATTTCTAGAATTCACAAAAAAAAAAAAACAAAAAAAAAAAATAATATTTTATATTATTATTTTTTATATTTCATCCCTTTGGTCTTTTTTTGATTATGTATATGGATATCGTTATACAAGTATGACAATTTTTTGACAGCAACATCACGCCATATACATGATTGTGGCATGGATCAATACTTTGTATTAATTACTAAATTAATGGTGCTTGGAGAACAATTTATGCAGTACCCAATAAAATCTTAATGTTATGTCGATAAATTGGAAAAAAATGGCGTAAAGTTAATCTTTGATGTAGTTGTTTCAAATTTTCGTGCTCTTTCGGTCTACACACATCAAATGATCAAGCATATTTTTGGCAATTCCTGATTTTTTTGAAACCGATAGATTTTTTTGGTCAATTTTATAATTTTAAAATGAATTGACAAAAAATATCCATTGATGTTAAAAAAAATCTTTAAAAAAACCTGATTTTCAGTAATTAGCAAAAACATGCGTGGTCCCCAGACACTTTTGATAAGTGTATTTATACGAAAACTTTGCTTTCGCCTAAAAAGCTGTTTTACGTTCTATATAACAAAAGATGAACGTAAATCTAATCTCATTTTGTAAACTTTATACTTTGGCTTTTACGCCTTATCTTTCCCAGAATATGTTAAACGATCCATGACGCGTCTTTGAGTATTCCTCAAATTAAAATATCATGACCTGAAGATAGTGTGTCTGTTACAAGTGTCTGACACAGGAAAATCGATTACAATATTTTATTAAAACCGTAACTTTTTAGTAGTTTATGACTGTATTAGTATATTGACCATAAAGAAACTTGATAGTAATTATTTAATTGCCTATTAATGGTACTTATGACAAAACTGTTAGACTGTTTAAATATTGTAATGGAAATGTATTAAAATAAATATTTGCTACATATGCGTTTTATTTTATTTTACATCATAGTCCATATTTGATATTAATCTTGGAGTTATATTTAAAACTATGAACGGAACCAAATATAGTCAGTATCAGTGATAAAGGGCGGATATTTAAAGATAATACGTCAATGCAAATCAATGCAACCCTATTTGAGTCTATAGTCGACTCTGCCCCACTCTAGATATATGGCACATCATTTTTTCACGAAGTTTGGACGACTTGTCCATCGATTTACCATACACAAGCACACACGCACGCACGCACGCACGCACGCACGCACACACGCACGCACACACGCACGCACAAACACACGCGCACACACACGCACACACACACGCGCTCGCGCACACACACACACACACACACAAGCGCGCGTGCACATTCACACGCACAATCACACGCACAATCACTCCATTATTATACATAGGCAATTACATATTTGCCCATTTTCATCATCCATCATCAATCAATGTAAAACTAGCAAGCATGTTCAGTGAGCATTGCATTTTATGACTTACCTTTCAATATAATATTATTATGGTTTTAACAATATAATATTATTATTGTTATAATATGTTTGTATAATCATGGGGTACCCATGTTATGTTTTTTTAATAGTATCAAGTAACGTGACGAACGGGTTGTGCGCCTGGTGGTAAGCGACACGCCTATCCATAACAGTTGCAGTGCCATTCAGAGCTTTAAATCGCAAAGATCTTACGGGCACCGCCACTGCGCCCGTCACCCTGAGACATAAGTTGACATGTCCCATGTGCTTGTCTATACCTGTGCATTTCACCAGCATTCTTACCCTTCTAAATCGGAACGCAGTATTTCTCACATTACTGTTTGGCGGCAGAAATAGGTAAGGTGGCAGTACTTGACTGGACGAACTCTTTCACAAGGAGCTCTGCTGCTACTAAAATCCAAAACTAAAAAAAATATTATTTAACGCCTCTCTTTTTTAGGTACACTAATAGATAATCAATTAATGTTCCTATTATCATTAGATTATTACATAAGTAATTAAAATTATAATAATGGACCCAAATAGGTCAATTGTGCAGTTTGTAATCGCCGCAGAATATTAATTGGATGAATATTAAATTCCTTCTTCTTATCCTTCCTATGGCACGGACCCGTAAAACAGAATTTTCCAACAAAAAAGTTCTGATACCGACCCTAATGCCACGGACTTGAGTATGATATCAAGTGCTTTAAACCATACTCAAATCCTGACTTGAGCATTGAGTAGAGTTCTAGAATACGACCCTTAATCTATTTTCCCTGTAGGTACTGTAGGTAGGTGTGTCGCTAATCGCCCGCATGCTGCACTGTAGTTCGTCGTTAGAAGTCGCTGCGAGTCGATGCGACGGCAGTCGCGACATATCGCCGGCACGCTTCACGAGCCCTTTACCATGATCTCTTCGATGTAGGAAAACATCGTGATGAAACCTATATATCGAAGACGGTTCACAACCCTTAGAAAACGTGTAAACGTGCCAGTGTGGCGGACTATGGCCTAAACCCTCGCGTGAGAGGAGGACCCGTGCCCGGCCGTAGGACATATGAAAAGGGTTGATGATGATAACAATTATTCACACCATCTTTTTAACGACGCAATTGCAACCTAGTGGTCTATGCTGCTCCTGTCAAAGTCCTAACAGCATCTTTTCGGAAGTCAAATCCCTTACGAGGAATTAATTTGCCTATAGAATGTAACCTTTTTAGAATATTTGTGTACAGACAGCAGCACATCAAGTTACGTATTGATGAACGTCGTTCCGTTGCACTGGCAGGGATATTCTAACAAAAGTGTATATATAGCTTGATGTGCTGTAGACTGTGTTTAGATTTTATAGTAAGTCGTACCTACTATTAATTATCTAATGAACACTAATTATCTAATCGCCATATTTTATGACGTTAATGACCATTATGTACAATATAACACACTACTTGGTCATGATCGTAATGAGCAGTGGTTTGAGTAAATATTTTTTGTTTTATAATCTCATATACGCCCCACTGTTGAGCACGGTTCTCGCCCAAAGAATGGACCATTGTCCATCAAAATGATCTAATGCGTCAAGATAACATGAAAATATATTTACACCTCTTACAAGGTACGTTATTTTATTAGTAAAATGTACAACATGAAACTTGTACCTACTGTTGTTATAGAGGTTATCTTTGCCCTGACTTACACGCGCATGCGTGCGTGCGTGTGCGCGCGCGTGAGTGCGCGCGTTCGCGAAGGCGTGGGGGTAGGGATGGACGTGGGCATGAGAATGGGCGTAGGCGTGGTGTATTCGTGTGCGTGTGCGTGCCTATGGACGTTAATGTATTCTTCTCTGGTTCTGGTTTTACAGTCGAATTTATTATATGTATGTGACAATTTGTACAAAATACATAAAATACATATTTATTTTATTATAAGTATACAAAATACATGCAAAGTATAGTCAAAGTATAGTGCTAAAGATTTAAAAAGTTTGGAACGACATTTTTTAAATGGGCGGTATCCTTCCTGAATTAGCTCATCAATATAAGCTACCATAAATCACATCTAATTAATTTTGTTTCAACCGAGACATAAACAAATTTGCGGGCAAAAAGTACCTATTAATACATATCAATTACACAATAATCTAAACTATGTATCATTATTT